CCCCCCCCCCCCCGCCCCCCCTCGCCCCTCCCCGCCTCCGGCCTTCATCCTGTAGTTTCCTTTCCTGGCCATCCGAATGCTTGCGACAGTGCTTGGCTGGCGATCGCCAGGCATTGCCCCCACCCTGGTCCGGTCGCTGGTTTGCCGACGCCCTGTTCACTCCTCGGCCGCCTGCACATCGGCCCATCCGCAGCCTGTGGCACCCGGGCCGGAGCTGGACCCGGGCGCAGTGCCGCCTGGGCCAGCGCTCTCGATTGGGCGTGATCTTTCGCTGGACTTTCGGTCTTTCATCCGCAGCATTGCATCTCCGGGTGCGCTCTCCCTGTTTTCTTCCTGGCCACACTCTGCCTCCTCGCCCGCACCTCCATCCCTCCCACCACTTATGCCATCTTCCCCCCCCCCTCCTCTCTCTCTCTCTCCCTCCCCCTGGCATTCCAGTGACCGTTGTATCGGCAGCTGATGCTTTGGGAAATGTTCACGGCGCCACGGTGTCCTCCTTTATGTCCATATCGCTGGAGCCGCCGATCATCTCCTTCTCCTTGAGTGATCGACCTGCCGAGCGCCCGCCCAGTGACTTCCCGCTGGAGATGGTTGATGCCGACCGGGTTCGGGCGGCCGGCGGCCGGCTGTCGAACATCCTCGCTTCGCTCCGACTAGCGGCCGGCCCTCCACACCAAGAAGGGCCGCCCGCTGGGGATCAGTCGCCCTTCTTTGCCATCAACCTCCTGGCGGCGGATCAGGATTCTGCCACGATTGCCGAGCAGCTGGCCCGGCCGGCACGCGCCGGCGAGCATCTCGACCATGAGTGGCTGCAGGGCGTCGCCTGTCCTGGGAGTGCGCTGCGGCTTCCAGGTTACTCTTTCGCCCCGGAGGCTGAGCTTGTCCCGCTGCCTCCGTTGTTAAGGAGGTCTGCGGCCAGCCTCATCTGCGAGCGCCTGTGCTTCGGCCAAGGGGGCACACCTGAGCCTATGGCAGATGACAATTCTCGGGAGGAGATTCTGCGCGTTGGTGACCACACTGTTTGGTTCGGTCGTGTTGTGGGAGTTGTGCGCAACTCTCCCGGCCACCCTGGCGGGGGGGAGTCCCCCGACGCCCCGGCTGGCGCTGACCAGCTGGTGGCCCTTCCTTCCGATGCCGGCAGCCAGGCCGGTCAACCCTTCGACAACCACCTCCCCCTTGTATACTACTCCCGCGTGTTCCAGACGACCACGCCTCTCTAGATGTCGTCTCGCTTTTTGTTGTGCTTCCTCCCCTCTCTTGAATGTGCCTGCATATTGCATGGTAGAACCCCCACACCGGCCGGTGCGTACGCATGTTAGAAGACCACCGGCGTCCTCATCCTCTAGACCAATACATCGGCCTGCTGTTCTGCGGAGCACATGAAGCACATCCCCCCACCCATTGATCTGGCCTCCGCATTGCACGGCGGCCGGGGCAAGGGGAGCGGGGGTGTAACTTGTTTTCTCCTGGACAAAGCGGAATCCCCGGGGATTGGGTTCACCCTTTCCTGCTTTTCCCGGCCCAAAAGCCAGCCGATGTTCGCTGTTGTCGTGAGCTGTCCTGGACAATGGTCCCACCGAGGGGGGGGAGGGGGGGTGTATCGACGGCCTGTCTTCGCCCATTGGCCAAAGCTCAAACAGCGATCTTTGTTAGCCCCCTGCCAGGCCAGTCCCGAGCATGATCTTGCTCCGCTCCTCTTCCCGGGAGAGGGGCCGAGGAGGAAAGGGCGTGAGGCCATGCGCCGCTCCCGGATGTGAGTAAGTGTCGTGGTGGCTGCTGAGGGCCTAGCAGGTGATACATTCGAGCGGCAGTTCGGAGCACAGTCAAAGCGAGGCCCATGGTCGCGCATTCCGATCCCCCATTCATGTCTCCGTGTGGGATCTGTGCTGGTGCGTGCCTCAGGAGGGGATTCGTCCCCCGGAGCTGGCTATCTCAAAAGGCCTTGACACGCGTGCATCGGGTATATCTTTCCTTTCAGATGTGTGTGTGTGTGTGTGTGTCGATCAACTGGGCGCTGGAGTTTCATGGGAGCAACAGGAGCATCAACAGGAGCACGAACAGGAGCATCAAGTGCCTCGCATCATTTTGGGATATCCCTGCTTTCTGTTTCCCCATTTCCCCCCACCTCCTGTCCCCTCGCATGCGAAGACCGCCTGAACCTCCCTTCATCAGGGCGTTGGGCGTTTCGCTTTTTGGAAGCAACATCGAGAACATTATCTCCTCCCCCTCCCTCCCAGACTCACCCATTCTATGTGTCCGTCATCTCTCGAAGGAGGTTCATGGGTGCGGGAAACAGTGGGGGGATGGCCACGCGCACAGGCTCTCCTTCCTCACCCCCCCCCCCATGAGTCACTGTGTCGACTCGGACGCAGTTGTCTTGTCCTGCTTGCATGTGCATTTTGGCCTGCATATCAACCAGCTTGAGTTTTCACCCTTTCCCCCACATGTGTCGCATGGCGTCTGTTGTGTCTGTGTTTATGTGTATGGGATGTTGTTCTCCTGTCTCCGACGACTGCGAGCACACATCATGCACATGCACGAAGGAGATATATGATGACGGAGGAGGAAGCTGACAGGGAGAGAGAGAGGTGGGGGGGGGGGGGGAGAGAGAGATTGAATTACAGTTGTTGGTCGAGATTATTCCGCAAGGTCAAGGTCGATGCCATCCATCGAGTCCAAATCATCCAGGTCCAGATCCAGGGCGTCAGATCCGGTGTCGCTCAGAGCATCGAGCGGCTCCAGGTCGTATTCCTCATCACACTCATCTACCAAAGGGGCCGGGGGGGTGGCTGGACCGCCATCACAGACAGAGGCCCCTGGCACAACGGGGGCCTTGGGGGGCATTGACAGGGGAGTGCTCTTGGAGACTGTCCGGCTGCCGTCGCGGTCGGTCAAAGAGGCCACAATCTCCGGGGTAGCATGGCGCTGGACGTGTTCTGTGTTTGTGTGCACATGTGCGTGTGGGAGAGAAAAAGACAGTGAGTGGGGTGGAAGCAAAGGTTGGTGAAGGAAGGAAGGAAGCAGGTGGGTGAGCCGCAGGAGGCGGTGTGGCAGCACAGGGAGCGCAGGCAAGGAAAGCGTGTGTGTGTGTGTGTGTGTGTGTGTGCGCGCGCGCGGGGAGGTACACATACCCTTCACCCTCTTTTCGAAGCCCTCCGGATCGTTCATCAGCAGCGAGGCAGCCTCGCCGTTGAGGGGATCCGAGGGGTTCGGGTATGTGAGAAGCTGGGGCAGAAAAACATCGAAGATATTGACCATGTCTAGGGGTGATGTTCGAAAGCATCCATGACAAAGAGGAAGGACCGACGGGGAAAGTGGATTGAAATGCGGGCACACGCGCGTCAGCACAACATCAGGACAAACGGATGCCAGTGGAAGGGGTGAGCCGGCGGCGTGATATCGGCACACGGGCCGCGAAAGGGAGCAACATCAGCGAGAGGCGTGTGGAATAGTAAAAACGCACCAAACATCGGCGACCATGCCTGGTTGATGACGTCCAGGCAGACAGATCCCGACCTGGGCGAGTGTAAAAACATGGTGTTAGAGTGGATCCGGGCTTGGACACGAGAGGCGGCGGAAAAGGGATGCCTGCGCAAGCAATCGGTCGCCAGGAGGGGGATCAGGGACCCTTGGGCGGAGGAGGGGACCGTTCTTCGTGAGCGACGGGCCCCTCCCCCCTTCGCCCCTTTGCTCCCCCCCCCTCCCCGCCCTCTTCCCAGCTTCGTTAGCATTGACAAAGCTGAAGATCGTACCGCTCGTCAATGTTCGGATGGAAGATGCGATTCCGGAAGCCGATCGACGGGGACTTGTAGGGATAGGTGTCCGGCAAGTGAACATGCACCATCCACACGCCTCCGGCAAAGGGAGCTATTCGATGGGGGGCACAGGTGAAGAACAGGAAAAAGGCAGGGCGGTTATAGATTGATCGCTACTGGACAGAGGGGGGAGGGGATCGTCTGGCCAGTAAGAGTGTTGCTGACGCACTGTCCTTGGGTCCATGGAATTTGACGGTCATGTCTCGGAGGTTGTCATTGGCAAGAGTGACCTCATAGTCGGTCATCATGCTGAGCGGGTTTTTTTTCCCCCCAAGCACATGCATACGTAGAGGATAGGCGGTCAGGTGAGTCGCGTGTCACCACGGAGCGAGGGAACTCGGGACTTGTGGCGGAGGGAATAAAGCGCGAGTGCAAGAAAGCGTACAGCTTTAGGACATCCTGCTTAATCCTCTTCATTGAGGATGCCATAGTTGGGATGTACTGGGCCATGGGGGAGCTTGTCAGCAAGGAGCACGGGCGGCAAGCAGGCTGGATGCTGATGGTGGCCGGACACCGGCAGACACATGTCCTTGAAAATAATGTACCTCGGCAAGTGTGAGCCTGGATCAGGCCGGCTTACGATGGAGAGCGGAGCGGGGAAAACGGGGGGGTGTATGGAAAGGGAGAGAGGTGGCGTGGCGCTTTCGAGGGAGCACGCAAATCTGAGCAAGCGTGAAGGAAACGATGAGTGTTAGACTGGAGAGCGGTCATGTCAAGAGGCGACGCCGCGGGCGCGCGCGAAAAAAGCCGCCCCCTCCCCCTCGAACAGCAACAAACGGAGGAGCCAAAACTTCTCCGTGGACAGCTCTCGGAAGGAGGTGGCCGAAAGGGGGTCTCTGGCGAAGCGAGTCATTCGGGCCTCGAAAGGGCGGGCGTATGGCTTTCCAGCCTGACTTTCGATGGCCAGATGCACAACACCCTCCTTCTTGCCTCGGGGGAGGGCGTCAGCAACAAACTGTTGGCCGGGCATATGCTCACTTGCGGCGGCATGCCGCCCACAGGGTCCCCAGACTCAAGATGCCGAGAGGCCACATTGCTGTCTGTGTGAGGGGGAGAGGGAGAAGGGGCGATGATGGAAAGGCTGTCGGTAAGGGGAGGGGAGAAGGAGAGGTACATGATATGGAAATAGGAGGGGCAGAGGGGGAGTATTCGAAGGGAGGGAGAGGAATAGCCGACGAATGATGGATGTCGGCCAGGGGACCGGCGCGGGGGGGGGCCCGGGGGGGGAGGGGGGGGGGGGGGGGGGAGCGGATGGGCGAGGGCCGACCGGGACGGCCCCCTACCCCCGGCATTGGCTGCCTGCCTGCCTACCGCCGTCGACCCCGAGGCACCAGGTGGCCCACAATCACCCAGATCCGATGGACGTGGGTGATCGACCACGAGAAGAGGTGGGGCGCGAAGCGAGTAAGCTTAACCCAGAGACCCGGCTTGAGGCCCCGCAAACATACAACCGTGTCAGCGGGTCCACACGCAGGACAGTCTCCCCGGCTCGGTCCTGGCGTGCCCCCCGCGCTCTCCCCCCCCCCTCCTCCCCCCCCGGGGGACACGCTAGTGGAACAATCAAACTAGATCCAGAACAGGATGATCCCCGTCACAGGGGCCTCGGTGATCGGGTCGGGCGTCCATCCTGGCCCGACTGCCGGGGCGACCGGAGCCAGGGATGACCCGGCGTACCCATGGAGGTCAAAGAAAATAAAAATACAAATAAGCGGAGAAATTGCTGGGCATGCCCCCCTCCCCCGCCCCCGGGGGCGGGGCCGGGGCCGGGGGCGGTCAGGGCGGGGCCTGGCCTCCCGCTTTTGCCGCGATGTGCCTCGGCTGTCCCCTGTGTCTCTGTGCCTCTCGGGCCTGCGGAATCCGAGACCACGGGGGCCCGAAGACCTTGGTTGCCTGGTGCTCTTCATGACATGTGGTAGCCGCCCCCTTTGCTCTCCTCCCCGGCCCGCCTCCATACACCAAGGCAAGTGGTCCGCCCAACGCGCGACGCTTTTTGGGCAGACCCAATGCCAGCATGTTCAGGCGCTGGGGGAGGGGGGCGTGCATCAAGCACCCAAATGTTGCATTGTCACGCGCAGATGGCCTTGCGAATGGCTGTGTACAGTCGAGTGTGGGAGCCTCCTCGAGCTCGTTTCTCCCTCACGGCGGGCGGGGGGGGGGGGGGGGGGGGTCCGCGGGGGGGGGGGGGGGGGGGGGGGGGGGATTAATTTCGCCGAACCCCGCGCCCCCTCTCGCCACTAGGGGGAAGCAGGCAAGCCCCTTTCCGCATGACGAGCCTCAACCATGGGCGGTGACTCTGTCAGGCGGCCATTTGACCTTTCTGCGTGCGGAGCACGTCTCCACCGGCTTCAGGCCAATGTACCCATGACGATGGGCCACCGAGGCCCTGGGGCTGTGGAAAATCACTGACCCAATCCTCGGGGTAATGCCACCCCACCCCGAAGCTTCGCCGGCCCCACTCTGAGGCAGTCTCGCCCGTCCCCGCCCCGCCCCGCCCCCGCCCCCGCCCCCGCCCCCCCCCAAGGGGTTGGTGCGCCCGACCCGCCGGGGAACGCGGGGGACCCGGTGCATGATCCCCACCAACGTCGCTGCGTTATTTGGGGGAATTCTGTGTCGATTTAAATTTACCCCCCCTCGTCGGGATGACTTCAGGCGTTGATGTTCTGGGGTGCGGGGCGCGTCCATGCCATGGTGTTGCCTGCTTCGCTGTGATGAGGCCTCGCACGACCGACGCCCCGGCATTTTGGCATGCTCGACTGTAGGGGCGACCCCATCCTATGTCCCCGTCTGTCCTCCCTCCCCCCCCCCCCCTTTTCCGCCCAGCTCAGGTGGTAGTTCCCGGGGGTAGGCATTTCCCCACAATCCCCCGGCATCATTCCCCGTGGAGCACCATGCACAGGGGCGGAAGCTTCCAGCGCCCCAGAGGTGTCCCACTGACCGCGCCCTCCTCCTCGGCCAGCCGGGGGCGGGGGGAAAGATCAGCATGGTGAGGTTCGCCTCCAACGCCCACAGGTGGGCGAGCCTCCAACCCGACGATCCGCCGGCATCACTTGAGGAAGGCCTACATGGCGGGGGGAAAAAAGGGGAGCCCTTCGAATGTCTCTTGGGTCACCCCCGCCGGCGGGGGTGCCTTGTTCGGGGAAAGACCCCTACCCCCGGGGGGAGGGGGGGGGGGAAAGAGCAACGTCGGGCGAAGAGGGGCACTGGAGGAGGGCGGCGAAATGGGGGCCAAGACAGCACGAGCAATTACAGGCCCTCTGCCGCGTCAGCCGTGTCCACCTCTAATCGAGAGCCACTTTCTTAGGCTCGAGGCTTTCGCGGGACTCGCGCCTCCCGAACTCGCTGGGAGTTGGAAGACGGACGACACCACCGCGGTTTGGGGGTATTCGGCGTTCCGAGCCGATCCGCTACCCACCTAGCCGCCCCCTTGCCCGTACCTCTGCCCACCTCGAGAAGCCATCGCGTCAAGTGCCCAGACGTAGGGCAATATCGTCGACTCTCCGGGCTGATGTCATTGGGGGGATGTGCTCCATGTGGCCGGGACGACCATGAGACGCAGGGGCCTTGGACCTCTCCGGACACAGGCCCTTCTACCGAGGACAATCTTGATGCAAAGAGTCCAAGCGTCGAGTGCTCGTGGGTTTCGTGCTCCTGTGCCGGGAGCTGTGCATGTCGATGTGCCGACGATGCGGGCCCTTCTCTTATTGCCAAGGGCAGATCACCCGTGCCGGCCAGCATGTGTCCCCAAGTATGATCGGAGCCCCCGAGACACATACTCCAGCGCATGGGGGGGAGGGGGGGGGGGGCTTCGGGCCGGGCGAGTCGTGTCCTTCCCTCTTGCTGACGGCCTCCCACCAGGGTTTCTCATGCGTGCGCGCCGAAAGAGGTCTCGGGGGGGGGGGGGGCATCAGCCCCTAGCCAAGGCCGGGACAACCTCCTGTATTGGGGCCTAGGTAACCCGCGGGCGGCGGCCTGTCTGCCCCCGGCACACCTCAACCTTCCTCGGTGCCCCCGGGCGAGCGGCCAGCAGCATCCCCGGCGCATGAGGGAAAGTTACGTCCCAGGCCTTGGCGAGGTCCTCGGGGTCGAGAGAAGGGCGCGTGGCCAAGGGCGGACCGGTTGACGCCAACTAGAGGGGAGATGCCCTTCAGGATTGAGGCCCGGGGAGGGGGGGGGGCGGGGGGCGGCATGGTCAGAAGCACACTCGAGCAATCGGCCCTCTACCGTGCCTGCAACCGGCAGGATACTCGTCAAAGGTATTTGCCACGGCCGCAACTCATGCCGGGCCTTTGCTTCTGTGAGCGTTCTTGTATCTGCCTCGCGTGTCCCGGTATTATTGGCCGAAGTAACGGCTGGCCGGATGCCGGCTTCTGCTTCGGGTAATCTTGCATCCGTTGTGATTCGGGCAATGGGAGAGACACGGTCCGCCAGACGCCAAGAAGCGAGCCAGACGGAAGATCCGGCCAAGCATGCGCCAGCCTCTGGCCTGAATGGTACGCACATGTCTGCTCCAGGACCGGGCATTGGCCCGGCCCGATTGCGCTGGGTCTTTGGAGGGGGGGGGGACCAGGAGGAGGGAGGGGGGCACATCACCCTGGCCCCCTCTCCCCCGCCGCCGGGAAGCACTGTCCCCCTGTGTAGGGCGTGCTGATGTATGTGGGTGTACATGCGTCATCCGAAATGCGATTTCGGCCGCCGGACCCTTGCCGCCTGAGCTGCTGGGCGAGGGGCAAGGCCGGAAGACCCGGCCACCGGTGTGCCTGTGTGTCTTATCAGGGGCGCCTCCCAACAAACGGCCAGGCTGTATGCGGGGCGCCGCAATGGAGGCATATTTGCAAGGGGTGCCAAACCGGAGTGAGGCTGCGGCCGGCCCGGGCGCGTGGGGTCTCGGTCTGGAGAATGTCAGTTGCCGCCCAGGGGCCAGCCGTGGCATCCGTCTGGCATACGAAAAGGGACAAGCGAAGGGACCCCCGCCAGATCGCGGCAGGAACGGCCCGGGGGGGGGGGGGGGG